TTTAATAGGTATCTATATCATTTTAAGACTGAAGTATGTTAGCGGACATCACCGGATTGTATTTATGCGAGCAATGCTGACCCGGCTACCGACCTCCGATCTCACCTCCTCCTGCCCCTGCCCCCGCTGCGAGTCGTTTGATCAAAAAGTAAAATACGTAACACATCTTAATGTTGATTCTATTTACATGCAGCAACGGCGGGCCCCGCACCCCCTGCGGGCCCTGCGCCCCCAGCCAGCGCCGCGCCGCCCCTCGCGCGCCTTCCCCGCTCCACTTCTGGCAGTTGGCTGCAGCTCGTCGCAGGTCATAATAACTTTATCCACAACTGAGAACATAAGAAACAGTCGATAACTATAAGTGTCCTTATGAAAGTCACAAGTAACGCGAATTGTTTCTTTTTTAAATGTATTATAAGGTAGCAAACAAGCGAGCAGCCACCTATATTCCGTGAGGAATCGAAGCGACCGCTGCCCAATGGACATCCACAATTGCAGATACCGTACCTCCACCATTCTCTTATTGCGGATGTCCAAAGCGTCATTGATCACCTTAGTGGTCCCGCTGTGTGTTTTCCCCTTCGACTAACGCAAGCTTCATCTGTGCAGACTATGCCCGCAATAACATGGAGTTCGGCGCGGAGGGGCCGCAGTGGTCGCTGCCCGGTGCCGCCGGCGTCAGGACCGCACACAAAGGTAGCACCTTCACACATACACATGTCACCTACAATCTCGACATGCAAAATAAGTTCTGTTTTTTCTTATACACTCAATAGCATTGAATTGGGTCACTTAAAAAAACGCTAAGGGCTTGTCCCACCACTGGCTGATAGAGGCTCATATAGCTTAAAAACGACTTCACTATCAGATAAGGGAACAAAATCGGATATTTCCATCACTTAACGCGTTAGATTGTTATCAGTGAATTTACAATTTGGTGGGACAGGCCCTAAATCTCGTAAACTAAGAATCCTAGCTTAATGAAATAATTTGTGTTTATTAGACAATTAAATACTGCTTAAATTAAGGTATTAAAACTTATTTAATTGTGCTAGCATTCTTAGTTTTCGAGATTTTTATGATTTTTTAAGTGCTCTGGATTCAATGCTTCTGAGTGTACATGTAGAGTAGTTAACTATTTTTATATTCATATTATTAATAGTAATAACAACACCTCAAGAAGCTGTGGAACGGTCTGTCCTCGGTGGTATTTCCAAACCAATACGACTTAGGGTCCTTCAAGAAGCGAGCCTACAATTTCCTCAAAGGCCGGCAACGCAAAAAGAAGCTCTCGCTAGACAGTTGGATTAAGGGCCTGATTCTAAAGGCGGTTATTTTAGAAACCGCACGACTAGTGAGGAGGTTCCTGTCTCTGCAGCCCTGACCACTGGTTGCTTGAGTCATCGGATTCCGCAGCCGGTGGACTTCTATTTTTTTATATAATATGTTTTATTTTGTTATTTTTTTTTTAAGAAAATCATGTGAAATATATTATATATAAAAATAAGAAAATAAGGATATGAGCATAAATAATAATAATAATAATTTATTATTACACGCTAGCCTAAACAAAAATTGTTAATTCGCAACACGAACCGAGTCGAATTTAATATATTATAACATGTTCAAATTAATATAATCGAGCAATTGATTGCAATTGTGACAGCGCGTGCGGCGCCGCAGCCCGCCATCTTGCCCCTGCTCGTGCTGCCCATGGAGGTGCCCGCCGAGCCTCCGGCGCCCACAGGTAACCCACCGTAGTCGCCCTCAGCCTACCGTCTGCTGCCCCTTGCTCCTATGCTCTTTATTTAGGTTTTAAGAGTACTTTTTTGGTAGTTCCAGAATGCCCGGTCGTAGTGGAGAAAACTCAAAAGGAGGATGTGAAGGTTAATTCAAATAGGAAAAGAGTTTCGAATAACGGATTCAATGATTTGGACGAAGAATATTTTGTCGGCCGAACGCGAGGTGCGCAGAAACCGGTATTTGACAGGGAACAGCCTCCCGCGGAGCCCACATCATACGAGTTTATTCCGGAGGTTCACTCCGGCCCGCCGCCAACCTTCAACAACGAGGGTGG